TAGTATAACTACTTCATATATTATTTATCTGGCTGTGATAAAGTCTTTTAGTCTAGGCCTTGCTGTAGGAGTTGATGTTTTCAAAAATTCCAGCTTTTGTCTCTTTTCACTGAGTTGTTGTGTACTGAAATTCGAGTTGGTATTTTTTATTACCCTGTACAGAGGGGTACTACATTTCAGGCCCCAGGCACGGTCTGCTTTTCAGTACAGGTTTGTACAGCACCTAGCATATATTCCCCCGGGCTGGCAAAGATAATAAACATAATAAGATAATATGCCATGAAGAGTGATGCTTTTGCCGATTAGTTTGGGAGTGGTTTTTTTGTTTTGTTTTGGGTTATTCTGGTTGGATTTTTTTTTACGGTTTAGGGGTGGCTTTTTATTTCAGTCAACTGAGCTGAACATTTTAAGAAAAGAAGTAAAAATACAATGGGGGAGAAGTAGGGATGCAGTATTTTGAGTCAAACGGGCATTGAGGGCTGTGATGCCATTTATATGCAGAAACAGTGGCATCTAGTGGGCAGGTTTTCAGATGAGAAAAGACAAAGTTAGCAGACACCAAATGTAAGTCAGCAATGATATTTTTATCTCTTTCAAAGATTAAAGATTTTCCCAAGTCTGTTGTAATCCTGTTCTGTAAAAGCATTTGGAAATCCACTATTGTGCCCTTTCCCATCTTCACCATACAACTTTTAGAACACTTGTTCTTCCTATTTTCATTATATTAAGCCCTCTTGTGGCTTTCACATGCAAATTCAAATTACCTAATGTCATATAGATGATCATAAATCTTCACCCAGTAGGAAAGCTAATGGTTTGCATGCATATATAAAAGTCTAGCATTTTTTCCTAAGATTTTAGACATGGGCAAAACTAAACCTCCAACTAGTCCTTGAGCACGCTTGATCTAGTTCAACTTTGGGTGATTTTGAGCACAGAATGGCTTTCAAGGAAAAATCTGTGTAAAGGAAGAGAATAAAAACACAGTAAAGCAGCCACACTGCAGGCCTCTAGAACAAAGCTCAATTACATAATTTCTAGAGCTATAACTAAGTATAATGTTTATGCAGTGTTAACCTTTTAAGCTAATTCTGTATGACACTTTTCACTGCTGAGTCATAACGAATGCTTGAGTTAATTTATTTATACCTGACCCTAAGGTCCTGTTCTTTTATTAGTCCACTGGATTACATGTAAAACACCGTATATATTTTATGGACACACAGAAATTTATAATAAGACTGAATAGGGGGTTGCTACCTCCATGGCAATAGTCTAAAGCAGTCACATCCATGCCTTCCCCCTCTCTTTAGACTCCAGTGTTTGCCAGTGCTGAGCAAACTTTGGGAAGTCACTGTGCTGTGCTGGCCTCCTCCTCTGGCTGTCTCTCAGAGAGGCTGAAGGATGTTTCTCTGCTTACTTGCAGGGCCCAAATGAGTTTGTATGAATGGAGAACTTGGCTTCTTAAGTCTGGTAGAAGAGCTGGATATCTTAAATATCTTGGCTGTGTTCTTCATGGTCGCAGAATTACAGAGGCACTGATAGACCTCAGTCTAGGCTTTTCTTCTTTACTCCCATAATTTTCTGTTCTGTCTTTTTCTTTAGGGTTTTTTTTTTCCTTTATTTTCTCTGTTTCAAACTTTTCTTTATGGTGTCTGCTGCTTTTCTTGTCCTGATGGACCAGGAGGTACTTCACTGGTCAGCTCTACCACAGACAGAAGTGTAGATACTTTTAAGAAAGAGTTTACTTTTGTAAAGAAGATTAGTGCTGCAATTCTGGAAACACTGGTAATGGTTTTGATTTGGATCTGAGTGCAAATATGGGTTGGCTCTTTTGCCTGTTGCCTAGATTAATCGGCCTGACACAGAAGTGGATTGAATACTATTAACACTATACCAAAGTTTTTTCCCTTATGAAGTGAGAGCGAGCATGGAACAGGGACCTTCACCCTTCACCCTTCTATGTTTAACGTTTTCTCCTTGTAAATTAGACTTAATAATACTTAACTTTTCTTTGGAGATGCCTATATGAGATCCTTCAGTCCTAATGTGGAAAAGCAAACTTAAAAACAATAAGCAATCTCTGTTCTATGTGTTTGCTTTAAGATTAGCTCAGTGTTACTGAGGTAGACCTAGAAGCTACTATTTAACCTTACTAGTTGTCTAACTCATGAATGAGTATCACTAGGTAGGAGTTCTTTTATTTTAAAGAAATACTTTAATCTACTTTCACTGGGTATGATAATTGGCATAATTGAGATTGGCATGGATTTTTTCACTGCGCAAAAAAGAACAGTCAGGATTTCGCCTAATGACTTTAACTTCAATAGAGATATGCAAATTGAGATCTACGTATTGAGAGCATTATGAATGAAGCACACAATAGCAGGCTGATTATACTTTTTTACACTCCCAGATTTAATCTATGATTTCATCTTGACAGTAGGGGAAAACAAGCCTTTGATGCTTTGAGATTTAAATTATTTCCTTAGAGTCATCCAGGAGAGCTCTATTACTGGAAGGAAAGTGTACTAGAAGTACTGTGGATCTATTTCAGTCTACCAAATGCTCTGTTGCAATAATTACCTTATGAACCTTCATAAAATTGTGTTTTCTTTTGCTACCAGTCCTCAGGCTCTTAGCATGACTGCAGTGAGGAACTCAGAAATGTTATTTTGGTCCATTCATAACTAATTCTGTTGCCATTACTGATCGTAACAGTTATGTAAGGGCCATCAAGAGTTTTTAATTGTTGTATTGCAGATATCATATGTTTACAGTCTGACTGTACAAGATATGCTTTACTAAGGCATAAGTTATAAAGGCACACAGGCAGAAAAAGAATGGTTGGATACATGTGCCTGACCTGGCAGAATTATAATGGAAAGGGAAAAGTTGTGCAGAGAAACTACAAAATTATTAGACTGTATCATATTGCTTCCCAGCTGCTGATCCTAGAAAGACCGCTGACTTTTGCTTAGTACTTCACAATACTGAACCTCACTTCCAGTGATTTTTTGTCAGTGTACAGTATGAGACTAAATAACAAAACTATCTAAAAATTGATTTGAATCAAGCTTTTATTATGAAATAATACAGGAAATATTCACCAGGTAATTAAAGATGGATTAGTGTTGAATAAATGTTGCCTTCATACAATATTGTTATTTAACCTATGAGACCGTAATTAAGGATTCCTCTGAAGTCCGGAAAGCTGACCTTCTCTTCGTGTTTATACTCTCCAATTGTCTGTTGCTTCAGACCTTCTAAAGCTGTACCCTTTAAAAGCCTGTTCCAGGACTAATCGGTGATTTCTTTTTGCCCATACCTCAGAAACTGCAGGAAACCCTTGATTTATTTATTCATGCATGCAATCTTTACTGGTAGAAAATATATGGTGGTATATAACGTATCTAGCCATTTATAGTTGGATATATTTGGATATATTTATATCACTAGGATTGTACTGTATTGCAAAGAGGCTCAACTCTACAGTGAGCACACAGCCAATGCAGGAATAATCTTGTCCTTGTAAACACCGCCATTGTATGCATCCTCTTCAGTGCCCAAGAAGAGATCTGCAGAACAAAAAGAAAATATAATTAAAACACGTGCTGCAATTGGCCATACTAATAACATTCAAAGGGCTTCAAATCATTTGAGCACTTTCCTAACATTAATTCTCCACAGCAGCCTGTGAGCAGGGGAGAAGTGAGCCAGCTTTCAACTGACTCTCAGCTGGAAGATTTTTTTGAAAACTGCCAACTTACCTCTTAGGGCTAAGGTTTGGGAATTTTTTGTTTTTGCTTTTAAATAAGTTTCAGACCTTTGTCTTATTGTGGATTAGCACAGCTCCATTGAAATCTACCCCAACATCCAGATCTTCAAAGGTACTTTGTGTCTTTGGAAACAGATGAGCCCTGACAAAAACCATGTCTGTGTTCTAGTGTTTAAATGCTTTTGAAAGTACGGAGCTAAATCTCCAACTTTTATGTTAAAAAGTTAACTGTGAGTGAAATAGCATCACTATTATGGTGATGATTCAAATTTATCCCAGTTGACAAATTTCATGTCTGTTTAAAGAATGTAAGTGGAAAAGCTTCTCCTGTTATAAAAATATGCAGTTATCAGGTATAGCTTCTTTCTTTGGCATCACAAATGGCTATTGGGTAATTGAAGAGACTGATTGATACTTATATTTTACAATCTTCTATGTTCCTTGCTTCAGAACGTCAGATTTTTTAATGTAGTGATAAGTCAATATAACAAGAAAAAAAAAGATGACCATATCATAAACTTAATGTGCATGAAGTACTATTGGGATGTGTCATTTTGTCACCAATTGCCTCGTGAGTAGTGCCTGGTTTCCGAGCAGTGCTTTGGAGAGTATCTTCCCATTGAACTCTGTGATGCATATGATAAACAGAGGCAATAAAGCAAATGATGCTATTACACTGACGTTGAAAATCATAAACAGAATTAATAATCCATGCAAGCTCTGTGAAAACATTCTATGTTAATGGTTATCAGCATGTTTGCTAAATAGTGAATTCCATTAAAAATCAGCAGCAAGCAAATTATTACAGCTGAGATACTGCAAAACAGGCTCAACTGCTAACAGGTCAGATTGCATCTTAAATATCTCAAGGATGACAGCTATGAGTTTAATCATGAGTTGGAAAAGGAGCACAAGCAGACAGGAAAGAAACAGGAGCAATCTGAAGCAAGACTAATAATAATGTTTTGCAGTTACCAGCTTAGATCCATATAGCAGAGAAATGCATAACGAAATGTTTTACTAATATGAACAGAACTACAGTGCCACCAGAGTTGACGCCTGGGACACTTATGTTCCCTGCCACTGCTCTGTTGCCTGACACCTTTCAGCGCAGGGTTCTTCCCCCAGCCATTGGTTATTCTGTCCTCTTCCAGTCTGTGGCTTTGCCTTTTATTATGAATAAAGAAATATACAGTGTAAAAGAAATATATATACCATTGTGGGATAGGCAAAACCATTAAATTGGATGCACTATATCCCTGTTGCAGTGTGGGAAGCAATGTGGATTCAACCAGTGCTCAAGGAATTGTTCTTCTGATCTCTGCTCCAAGCGCTGGAGGTGAAGCATATACTCCTATTTAAAGAAAACAAAAAGTAATATAATAATGTAATCACTCAAGTCTAATGTCAGGCCAATGAACCAGGAGAATCTCACAGTTTATGTAAGAGCAATTAATTTACTCCTTAAAATTATAAAATATAGTGAAATGGTGCTGCTAGTCAGCTTGCCCCAACCTAGCAATATTTAAGGAATGACATGGAATTCATTATTAAATGAGTTGAAAGACATTTAGTAAATAATGACATCATTATCCATATCAGTAAAGGTGTGAAGCAGGAATTTTACAACAATATTCATAGATTAGGATTTCTGCATACACATTTCTTATTTGCATATTGACACAGAAGCCTTTGTTGGTGCTGAGGGTACAGGATTCTCACAGATAGGTCTTTTTTAGCCTCTTTTGAAAATTGATTACTGCTGATTAAAAATATTAACCCCTTATAGAATCATGTGGCAGTACTCTGCAGGGTTCTAGTAATTAGCGTGCATCAGTGCTGATTAGTCTTCCTTTTTTTTCATAAATAATGTGAAATTCCCATACTAATTTAAAGGAGTTTTGGTGTAAGCAACAACTTATGAAACTAAAGCAGACTGTGTACCAAAAACTTGACTTCCATCAGGAGCAAGATTTACTTTTTAAAAGTTAGTCCCAGTGCCTGTGGTCTCATAAGCTTTGTGAACTCTAGATACACTTTTTCAAAATGTACCCCCATGGCTATGCACAGTAGGCATCGTAGGGATGGAAGCTGCAGCGTAAACCCTTTGCGCTGGCCAAGTATTCCCGCTGTCATCCAGTTCTCTGCTCTTTGTGCCGACCAGAGGGTTGGTACGCTGCAGGCCAGCAGGAAGCATCAGTATCCTGCTTTTTACTGTGCTTTCTGCCCTCGCAGAATTGCTCAGATCCCTCTGTGAGTGCATTATGAACTTGCAGAGAGCAGAACTGTACGACTGAGAAGATGCCACATGATAAAAAGCAGGGTCTCAGTCAAAGTAAGATTAAAACATGCTGATAACATAAGTGACATTTTTAAAATAATCAAAGATGGCAGATCTTGCTGTCTGTAACTGAACGGGGCTTTTGACTGAAACAGCACTGTGTCACAAAGAATTGCAAATTAAATTCCCCAGCTCAGCATGATCTGGCCTAGTACAAACAGCTTTTGCTTAAAATGGATGAACAGAGGTGGGTTCATCCCAGCTTTCATTTCATTCTGCTACAAAGAATCCATAGAAAATCAGGTTTTCTCCTTAAGCCAGCAGTGCAAGGAGGGATGTGCATGGGGATGCATCAGCCATGCACCTCATGCACAAGGGAAAATCTCTGTGTTCCACATGGTGAGGGGGATGGTTTTTTTAATTAGAAGATATTCCCTTTTCTACTGAAAACCTTGACATTTAGTGAAAAAAACAAATGCTCTCATGTTTGTGTTTTCTTACAGAAAGTCAGTATTGCTGTACAGAAAAGAATTAAAAAGAAAGTTGGAATTTCTCCACAAGTGTTTGCTACTAATCGTGGCAGGATGGGAAGTGGCAAGGACAGAGCAGCGGAGGTCAGTAACCAAACACTTCTCTAGTCTTAGCTCCTTTCTGTGCTCCACCTCGAATCATAGAATATCTCGAGTTGGAAGGGACCCATGAGGATCATCAAGTCCAACTCCCTGCTCCTCACAGGACTACCTAAAACTAAACCACATGACTAAGTGTCGTATGTATGCAGGTAACTTCCTGTAATACAGGATTTAACTCAGTACAACTTCTCTACTGTTTTATTTTGTATTTAATATATGTTATATTTACTACATAACATATGATATAGTCGTGGTGGTATATTAAGCATAAGCATAGCTGGGAGCTGTATTTTGAAAATCTACAAGGCCCATTTAACAACAGCTTAGAAACCAACCCAACCCTCAGTGTTGTGGGCAGCAGTGCAGCCCACACCTTCAGGTGTTTGGCTCTGTTGTGCAGTCTTCATTGTACAGAATTGTTAACAAGCAGGGGGCAATACTCTTGTGACAGCTTTGGTCTGTTGTGGCTGTCACACTTGACGAAGAGGTGTGTACATCACCAGATGGGTGCTTGCTGGCTGATGTACAGTAACCATTAGAAACGGGAACCACGAGCAGTCCCCCAGTCCTGCAGGGTGCCTGTCCTATGGGCTTCAGAAGTGTCCAGCATCTTGCTAAACTCAGCCCCTTGTATTTGTCATACACGCGCAATCTGTTGTGTGCTTTCTAGCTTCTGTGGGTTTTGCCTCTTCAGAACCACATAATTTTAACACAGTTTATTTACTTTGGAAAGAAATAGGGAGCAATTTTAAAATACCTTAAGTCCCTCTTGAGAAGTGCAGAATTATATGTTGTATCTTGTCAAAGCAAGAAAAACAGAAGGATCTTTAATTCTTTTACTTTTTCCTGTTGTTTTAATATGGTTTAAAAATAAATGAATGTACATACTGCATGCAAAAACAACGCTGCTGCATTGAGCTAGCAACTAAAAACATCTACAATACCACAAAAAACCATCCTATCTCCGGCATTCATAAATAAGTGAATGAAATTGATTTTAAAAGCCAGTTTAGAACTACCTCAATCTCCACACTGACCACTGACACCTACATCTCCTTTCTGCCTCGAGTTCCGAATGTACTGTAAGCAGAAGACATTTCCTGTTATTTAGTTTTTCAGGAACAACCTGATGAAATCCACATTTCTATAAATGAAAAGCCACTTTCTTCTCAATAATTTAATCGGCATTTTTAAGCTGTGATAAATAATTTCCACATTCTGCAGGCATACATTTCCTGAGCAATATTCAGCACTTACAGAATGCTACTTAACAGTAATTGAAAGAATGTAAAGGGGTTTTTTAATATTTCATGGAAGAATTCGGTTGCTTAAAAGGGTGAGACTCAGAACATATTGCTTGGAATTAAATCTATAGAAATCTAATACTAAGTGCAAGTGTTTCGTGGGGTTGGTTTGGGGGATATTTTTTTTTAGTTAATGTAATTTAAAAATAAATATAATAAATCACCCTCATTGGCTCATCAGGGAAACCAGCTTTTCTTGGTCTGTCTTCACGACGAGTTCTCAGAATCTGTTTGGCATCTTTTTCAGGCAAAATTGGTGAAGTGTCTAAAGACAGAAAAGCAGAAATTAGTTCTGAAATTACCAAGAAGTTAATATTTTATCTGTCGGTTGTAAAATGAAATGTCTCCGAAGCTGATTTTTGTCTATATACAAAGTGTTCTTTCATTACAGCTCCTTCCCAGGGGATATTGCATGCCAGGAGCAATGAGTGGAATTTTAAACCATTTTTATACTTCTGCTTTCTATAGTTCTACCAGTATGAAGCAAACCCGACATATATTCAAGTTACTCTCTAAAGTGAGTAAACATAACAGCACCATCTAACCACTGACATTAGTAACTCTTCCAATTCTTTGTTCTTTTCTGTGTTGCTTTACTTCTTAGGATTATTTTTCAAAGTAATGAATCAGACTTTTATTGCAAAAGAGAGATTGCATTGAACATTTAGCTTGCAGGACCATGGTAAAATAATGGTAAAATAGAAAGTTCATAAAATTAAACTTTTTGGTTTTACAATAAATGGGTACAGTGTGGTAATGCAGAGAGCAAAATATCAAATACAAGAGCATGATTGTTCAAAATCAAATCATGGAAAGCCTGCAATATAGAAACAGTTAAGTATTAAAAATGAAACATGAAGATACTAAAATACAAGGTTGATGAATACTACTATTATAATATGCTCTGCAGCTCTACATACATATGCAGGTTTGTTTTATATAAACACCTACCTGTAAAAGTGCTCATCAGGACCAAAAAGAAGACAAACACAAGTAACGTCTTCATTTTTATTCTGCCTTCTCTCAGTCTGTTCCCAAATGAGTAGCGCTGACTGAGGCATTAGCCTACTTGAAGTAGCTACGTCAGTCACAAATGTTTGTTTATGCTTTAACTAATTTGAGTGATAGTACGATTCTGAAGACATCTGGCCTGCAGTTTTGAATATGGCTATTATCTGCTCACACATTCTCAGCATAACTCTGTTCCTGAGGGAAAGAAAATAGAAGACCTTTTTTCCACTTCAGGCTTCAGAGTTACACTGGATGTTTTAAATTTGTGAAAACAAAAACACATCACCACACATTTAACATAGCAAGCAATGGTTTCAGGTGCCCAAGATAAACAATTGGTTTTTAAAAGAAACAATTCTTCATTCCTGAATGTTACTCTCAAAGGCAGATGCAAAGGGGCCCCTTTTTCAAAAGTTGTCACTAACTTTACTCCAGCACAGAAGTACATATTAATGTTGTTTAACTCTAGCAAAGCTGAATTATCACTGCTGAAAAACACAGCAGAGAGATTTTTGTCAAATTAATAGGCCCAAACAAATGAAAACTCACATAATTCTTCTCTTTTCAGGACAAGTTAGTAGAAAGCAAGATGATAAATGTCCTTACTAGTAAGGATATTGTGAAGTATGCATGCCAGTTTAACAAATGTCGTTGCAAACACCTGGTTTCTGCCTTGAGAAATGTGGCTTTCCAGACCTCTCTTGAGCATGCTGGACGTATGACACAAGCATCACTGATTTGTGGGGAAAAAAGTAAGTGTCCTTTAAAATACAGTGCAGGAAATAGCCAGAATTCATCAGTGGCCCTTGCACAAGGGATGTGAGTAATTAACATTTCACCTCTGAGGAAAGGTGCAGCACATCCCCATACCTCTTGCACCTCTGGGATTCACCTGGGGATTGCCAGCCTGGCTCTGAGCAGCCCTTCTCCTCTGAGCCTTTTTATTTCCTAAAACAGTGGTGTTTATGTCCATGTCTGCACAGGTCAGGCAGTTTCAGTGAAATCTGTCAGAGAGCTGTGGGTCTCAAAAGCGTTAAGATGCAGAAAGGTTCAAGAAATCAAGCAGCAGGTCAGAGAGAGGAACTCTGTGAGTGCCTCTTTGGACAGACACCTTCGGGGTGTGCTTAACTGGGGTGAACACCAGTGCGACACCTCTCCTTGGCCAGCTGGGTGGGATTAGCTCCACTGCTCCCACAATTACTTCTGAGTTTGTTAAACTCTGACAGAATCATGGGCGAAAATGGAGAGTGCTGTAGATGTGAGGGCTTGAGCAGAGTGAAAGCAGGCGATGGAAATGAAACAGTTCAGGGGTTGGGCACTTTTGGGGTCCTGATGTCCCGTTATGGGATTTCTTTTGTAAACCTGAGTATTGTCAAGCTGTGGAGAGTTTGCATTTTTCAGCATGTGTTTTAAGATACCAACAGCTATGTATAACGTATGGATTTCTGTAATTGTTCAAGATACTGTTTTGAAAGTGCAAAAGACTGTAGTTCCTAATAGCAGTAACTATTTATTTTTAAACTGCTACAGGGGAAACAGTACAACATGTAAGGACAGAATGAAATTATGAAGGGAAGAGGTTTTGTGGCTGAAGTAATGAAAGAACAAACACTGATAATTTAGCCCGAAGCCTGCTCAGCAGCCTCCTCCGCCGAGGAGGAGCTGGACCGCTCTGCCACCCAC